CAGAGGGAAAATTATTTTAAAAAACAGCACACCACACAGGGCTCTACGCTGACCTTTTTGTTTTACAAGGAGCACGTGTGTGCCTAAGTTGAAAGATGTAGGCGCACACAAAGACATTTTGGAGCACAACAAAAAATATTTGTGCGTATATAAGCGAGTAAAATGGTCGCACTGTAGAGCCCTGACAGATATAGAAACATACCGGGCAGAAATTAGCGTTTGGATCAGGAAAGTTTCCTCTCACAACCTCTATAAGCCAGAATGCTGGTTGGTCCTTTTTCAGGTAGGAATGTGAGACAAAATATCCACAGAGTTTTCAACCCGACCTTCAGTACGCTGGTCTGTATATTGTTTGTATTTCCGGTTTTTATTTATTTTCAAAACTGATGCTATTAACACGTGACAAACACTTGCACAATATGGCTGAGCCTAACCGGACGGCAAACACTTCCAGCTGATTGCGGAGGAAATGTGCTTCGGACGACTACATTCGGTTATATTTGGCTATTGTTTACATGTTTTGTATCACATGCAATGCGTCAACAGACTTCAAATACAAGCAATAGAAACTACAGGCACCACAAAAAGTCAGGTAAACAACACTTTCCTGCGGATACCCTATCTCCACCTCCTACTGCCAAAAGGACCAACAGCATGTACAACCGGTAAAGTGTAAATATCATTTTATTCAGCATTCTGCCTTGCAGAGACTATTTAGTATTTTTTACAGTGACTTCTTTTCAGACTGATATCCATGGAGTAACAGTCTGATGTTTAGGCAACCCAATGATTAGAAAATGAAGCCAACAAAAATACACTACATGACCAAAAGTATGTGGACACCTGCTTGTCGAACATCTCATTCTAAAATGATGGGCCCCCTTTGCTGCTATATCAGCCTCCACTCTTCTGGGAAGGCTTTCTGCTAGATGTTGGAACATTGCCACGGGGACTCGCTTCCATTCAGCCACAAGAGCATTAGTGAGGTCGGACACTGATGTTGAGCGATTAGGCCTGGCTCCCAGTCGGCGCTCCAATTCATCCCAAAGGTGTTCGATGGGGTTGAGGTCAGGGCTCTGTGCAGGCCAGTCAAGTTCTTCCACACCGATCTCGACAAAACATTTCTGTATGGACCTCGATTTGTGTACCGGGGCATTGTTATGCTGAAACAGGAAAGGGCCTTCCCCAAACTGTTGCCACAAAGTTGGAAGCACAAAATCATCTGATTTGAAGGCGTGTCCACATATACTATATATGCTCAAAAGTATGTTTGCATCAGCTCATTGTGAAGTAAGTAGGCCTACCGGTAGACTGAAAATATTTGTTCTTGTTCATTGGTCTTTTGGGGGGGAAATATAGGTAGGCTCTACTATAGATAGAATAGGATTTGTTTTATGAATATTAGGCTACTGCTTTAAAGATGTTAGAACTGAATGTGTGATAGGCCATTGAATTAAATAAATCAATGTTTAATATCCTTATTCATAAGGAATAATTATGGATAGTCATTAAAGCAAATACCTCATTGTCATTTAACTGAAGGAACGCAACCCACCCATGATAGAGTACCCTACATTCACAACATGGGTAATTCCTCGGTCTCCGATATTTCCATTTAAAATGTATGCCAAACAAAAACCATTGATTTCAAAGTTTAACAAACTCTAGCACACTGTCAACTTTGAACAGTTTACATAAAAAATAAAAAATAAATAAAACATTTAGCCTAGGCCTACTGTAAAAACAGTGCAGATGCAAAGTTTGGTAACAGAATTATGGCAAAATCTCCCTCCGTTTTATTCTATTACCAAACTTTGTATCTGCACAGTTCCTACTGTAAATGTGTTTTTTTTTTTTTATCTGTGGAAATTGTTAAAAGTAGTCATTGTGCATAGCGTTCTAGGGTTTGTTAAACTTTGAAATCAATGGTTTTTGTTTAGTAAACATTTTAAAGGGAAAAATCTAGGTCTCCGGGAAATTCCGTTATATGGAATTGCCCACATGTAGCTGCGTGTATAGGAACCCACTCGCCTTTCCTGACGTAACAACACAGCTCAAATCAGTAGCCTATGAGAACTCTGAGTTCACAAACCTGATCATGCAAAAGTTGTAAAGGTGTGTGAGAGAGACCAACATTACCTGTTGATCTTCAGAGCGAACGCACGTCGCTCCGCGCTCGCCAGAGACGACATGAAAAGTTTACTCCAGTTCTGCGGCGGTAGCTACAGTTTCACTGCGGAGTGGTAACTTCTCCTACCGCATTGCTAGCACAAATGTCATCACAAGCCTCATCTTCGCTGTGGCAGCGTTCTGGGTGGAAACTTCCGCATTTGAAACCTACCCATCCCAGCCAGCCAGACACCGGCTGCGGAGTGGGAGGGGATCAGACACACACACTCTCAGTCTCTCTCTCTCTCTCTCTCTCTCTCTCTCTCTCTCTCTCTCTCTCTCTCTCTCTCTCTCTCTCTCTCTGCTAGATACGCCCTTGGGTTTACTTAATAAGCAGTCTTGTGTGTGTGTGTGTGTGTGTGTGTGTGTGTGTGTGTGTGTGTGTGTGTGTGTGTGTGTGTGTGTGTGTGTGTGTGTGTGTGTGTGTGTGATTATTGTTTATTTCACTTTTGGGTGCTGGATTGATGTGCTGGAATGCCCACATTGACATTAAAGATGTAGCTCAGTTGGTAGAGCATGGTGTTTGCAACGCCAGGGTTGTGGGTTCGATTCCCACAGGGGGCTAGTATGATTTTTTATTTTTTTTTATTAAAAAATAATGTATGCACTCACTAGTTGTAAGTCGCTCTGGATAAGAGTGTCTGCTAAATGACTAAAATTTTTAAAAAATGTAAATGTAATGACATAGCCGACTCCACGATTGAGTTGCTCTGAGACTAGTGATTTCAGCACCTTAAGAATAGCCCGCAATTACAAAGAACAATGTCGTGTGTAATTGCAGGCTATTCTTTGGGTGCTGAAATTTGGTCGTTTTTTATTAAAACGTACTTTTATGTTACGTCGTAAATCGTGGAGTTGAGTTTAATCGGCTAACATTTACATAAACCAATGTGTTTCTGATCTGTTCTGATCCTAACAGCTTTTGAAATGTTATTTGTAGAAACATGCCCTCTGCACCATCAAGGGTTTAGATCAGTGGAGGCTGCTGAGGGGAGGACGGTTCATAATAATGGCTGGAACTGAGCGAATGGAATGGTATCAAACCATGTGTTTGATGTATTTGATACCACTGTATTGATTCTGCTCCAGCCATTACCAGGAGCCCGTCCTCCCCAATTAAGGTGCCACCAACCTCCTGTGGTTTAGATTTGACAGGAGTATGATCTTCACTTGATGGGGTCATATATAAGTAGCCTATAAAGGATTAAGTATATCAGAGAGGATATGGCAAAAAAATAAAATAGTAATGTAGTTTGATTCAAAACAGAATGTGCTGCACTGCAAAACAAAATAGACATGGGTATTTATTAGAAAGGATACAGCTTTTGTCAGATTTGACTTTTCGTAGCAGGTTTATTTGTTGCATACACAGATTAGCAAACGTTAATGTAATGTAATATGTAATATGCCATTTAGCAGACGCTTTTATCCAAAGCGACTTACAGTCATGCGTGCATACATTTTTTGTGTATGGGTGGTCCCGGGGATCGAACCCACTACCTTGACGTTACAAGCGCCATGCTCTACCAGCTGAGCTACAGAGGACCACATTAAAGCAGGTGCAGTGAAATTATTGTGTTTCTAGCTCCAGCAGTGCCATAAATATCTAACAGTACAATACTAACACACAAATAATAAAATAAAAGAAGAAAGAAGAAATGAAGAAATATCAGAACGAGCAATATTGGAAAGAGCAATGTCAGAGTCCAGAATATAAATATGTGATGTGTATAGACAGTATGGACAATATACTGTATAAGTAGGAAAAAGGTACAGCAGTAGTTATATGGATGAGCTATGTCAATAATACAGTATTTACATATAAAGCAAATAACCAATTAGCTTAATTAGGTTAGAGGGAACTTACACAGCAGGTTAGGAGAATAAACGTAGCATGATATGATCATTCGGTTAAGGTCAGGGTTAGCTAAAATACACCAAAAACAACCTCTAGCCTTTCTATCATGACCAACAATATGCTATGAGGTCAATGCGGCAGGGGCACCATGAGATGATTACCCAACGTTCCAGGGGCCTATAGCCTGGGGGCCCATAGCATGGGGGCCCAGGGAGTGCATGAACCCGGATTGAACAGCTAGGTGCGCGCACCCTCTACCGTAAAACAATAACTTTTTGTTGACGTGACAGCACAGCTGCACCTTGCTAGTTCATGGTGCAACAATGCTTAGTTAATACGTCTTATTGATTTCGATGTGTGTATTTTCTTCAAATGACAATAGGCGTACTTATTTTTTCATCAATATTCTTTGAACGTAACCTACGTCTCGGAGATGTCGGTCGGTCTTGCGGAACAGTTTAACTGGTAATCCCTTTTCTCAGACGGATTATATATATCGTTGCACACAGCTACAACAAAATTGAAAGGAACACATGACATAAACATCAGCATGAAAATAATTGTCTATCTATGAAATCAAAGATATAACCAGGTAAATGTAATGAATCGCTTTTATTTGCTTCACACTGACACTTGTCATACTGATGGGACAGTTTTAAACGCAGCAGTGTTCTAGCATTTCCCTGTATGCACGAATGGGCAGCAGCAGAGTTGGCTAGCTAGCCTAGCACTAGAAATAGCTAGCTGACTTCACCAAAGCACTGCTGGCTGCGTTTTAAACGGTCCCACATAACATCTGGCAATCTGACCAATATATGCCAGATTCAACCTAAGGTTGTTAGCGCTGACTCAGAACTGCACCCGTGATTGAAATGAAATGTTAACGTTTATATTAGCTATATGTTAGGCAAGCTAACGTTATAACGCTATCAATACAGATTTACAGATTGTCCTGTTTGTAGACATAACAGCCATGTATGAGGTCTTAATGGACGAGGAGGATGATTGCCCAGAGTTGGTCCCCATCGCAGGAAAGCCTCTCTCACCTGGCGAGCAGATACCTGTGACCATCATCACAGGCTACCTCGGTATGACTGTCAGTTAAGTCTAGTTCCCACCCCCATGCATACTGCTGTGTTGTCAGACAGGTAGTGCTCATCAATCTTGGTCATCGAGAGATGCATGATGTGCAGGGTTTTGTTCAACCCTAGCACTAAAACACCTGGTTCGGCTAGTTCACAAATACTTTGTTTAGGCCCTAGTTGAATCAGATGTGTTATTGTGGGGCTGGAACAAAAGTCTGCCCACCCAGTAGCTCCCCATGGTCAGGGTTATTGACTGACCACTGGGATAGAAATCTATAGTAATTACAGTGTGCTATTCATATAAATCATACCTCTTCTGCAGACTATAACAGTTCATTTATAACCCATATAGGTGCTGGGAAGACGACACTGTTGAACTACATTTTAACTGAGCAACACAATAAGAGAATCGCTGTCATACTCAATGAATTTGGAGAAGGTATGTCCATTTTTATGGTCTATATAGGTTGCACTGTCTTTATTTTTTCATAAAGGTACAAAATTACTTGTTGCTTCATTACAGCTGTTTTGCAATGACATTGTATTCGATGGTGTGAATGTTTTCTTGTTGGTTGTATCATATGGTTAAAGGTAAAATGCACCCCAAAAATCCTATAATTTACAGTGTTACATTACACTAATATGTGAGAAACAATTTTTTGTGAACAAATGTTTCATTTTGTTGTTATAATAAGGTTGGTAGCAATGTGAAAATTGTTGTGGAAATTGTTGCAGCTCAAGTCGAAAAACCCACATTGCAATGCTGTCTATGGGCTGGCTGGCTAGCTAGTTAGCTAGGTTGCTAGCTAGCAAACGTAGCTACACACAATGATACCAAAGTCAATAACAGCATGTGAAGTAGCTAGTTAGCTGTAAAATCGCCTAAACAAACTGCACTATCAATTTAGGAGTCTACAATCTCACCATGTTCAACCTGCAGATCGATGTGCCTCACAGAGTGGAGTCTGACATTCACAACAGCACCATGCAATGCACCTTTTACTGAAGAGGCAGACAAATAGGAGAAATGTGTTAGACGCTCTGTTAAATAAAACATTTCTCCAGGTAAGAATATCGCAAAAATATTATCAATGGCTCATTCGAGAGAAGACAACCTCCCACGTTATGACATCGGCTAGTATTGACATTTGACATGTATGATAGACGTTTTCGCGATCTAAAAGTCGTATTCCAATTAACTTCCAGTGTAGTGAGAGCGGTTTTATCACAATGCTCCGTCATACAGGCCCAATTTCTGCCTGTTTGAACTGCAATAGATCAGATACAGTTCGAAACATGAAATGACCCAGGGAATCGATAGCACATCACGCAGAGATGCTCAAAAACAATATAACATTCAAAATGGGTGAATCTTTATTTAAAGTGCGCTAGGGAGCAGCAAAGAGCTCTGTTCAAACCTATATGAATCCCTTGAGATGCTGCAGGGTCCTTTATAGCCTGACATGAGAAACAGTGTTTAGTCTGGCTAAAGTCAATTATCTTAACCATGAAATAGGCCTACAATAGATCTGTGTTGTGAATGCTACACTGAACAAAAATATAAACACAACATGCAACAATTTCAAAGGTTTTACTGAGTTACAATTCATTAGGCCCTAATCTATGGATTTCACATGACTGGGAATACAGATATGCATCTGTTGGTCACAGATGCCTTAAAAAAAAGGTAGAGGCGTGGATCAGAAAACCAGTCAGTATCTGGTGTGACCACCTTTTGCCTCATGCAGCGCGACACATCTCCTTCGTATAGAGTTGATCAGGCTGTTGATTGTGGCCTGTGGAATGTTGTCCCACTCGTCTTCAATGGCTGTGTGAAGTTGCTGTATATTGGCAGGAACTGGAACACGCTGTCGTACATGTCGATCCAGAGCATCCCAAACATGCTCAATGGGTGACATGTCTGGTGAGTATGCAGGCCATGGAAGAACTGGGACATTTTCAGCTTCAAGGAATTGTGTCCAGATCCTTGCGACATGGGGCCTTGCATTATCATGCTGAAACATGAGGTGATGGTGGCGGATGAATGGCACGACAATGGGCCTCAGGATCTCGTCACAGTATCGCTGTTCATTCAAATTGCCATCAAATAAATGCAATTGTGTTTGTTGTCCGTAGCTTATGCCTGCCCGTACCATAACCCCACCTACACAATGGGGCACTCAGTTCACAAGGTTGACATTAGCAAACCACTCGCCCACAAGACGCCATCTGCCCGGTACAGTTGAACCCGGGATTCATTCGTGAAGAGCACACTTTTCCAGCGTGCCAGTGGCCGACGCCGAACTGCAGTCAGGTTAAGACCCTGGTGAGGACGACGAGCACGCAGATGAGCTTCCCTGAGACGGTTTCTGACAGTTTGAGCATTAATTATTTAGTTGTGCAAACCCGCAGTTTCATCAGCTGTCTGGGTGGCTGGTCTCAGACGATCCCGCAGCTGAAGAAGGCGGATGTGGAGGTCCTGGGCTGGAGTGGTTACACGTGGTCTGTGGTTGTGAGGCCGGTTGGACGTACTGCCAAATTCTCTGAAGCGATATTGGAGGTGGCTTATGGTAGAGAAATTAACATTACATTCTCTGGCAACAACTCTAGTCGACATTCCTGCAGTCAGCATGCCAATTGCACGTTCCCTCAAAATTTTAGACATCTGTGGCATTGTGCTGTGTGACAAACCTGCACATTTTAGAGTGGCCTTTTATTTTCCCCAGTACACGGTGCACCTGTGTAATGATCATGCTGTTTAAACAGCTTCTTGATATGCCACACCTGTCAGGTGGATGGATTATCTTGGCAAAGGAGAAATGCTCACTAAAAGGGATGTTAACAAATTTGTGCACAACATTTGAGAGAGTCCAGTCAGCAGAACACCCAGATGTTTACTGCTCTGATAATGATTGGTGTCCCTCATCTGTCCTGTAGGTAGTGCTCTGGAGAAGTCTCTAGCTGTGAGCCAGGCAGGAGAGCTGTATGAGGAATGGCTGGAGCTCAGGAACGGCTGCCTCTGCTGCTCCGTGAAGTATGTATGTTTAACTTCAATGTTAAGTCCCCCATATGGGGGACTTTGAGCGGTTCTGGACCGGTTCCGACTGACATTTTGGTGTACAAAGTGCTCTGTGAACACAGTAGGGTCCCATGCTTTATAATGCCAAAAAGATGTCTGCTCTCTGTTTCCACTCTCTCAGCAGAGCTGACTTGAAGTGTCAGGTTTCAGACCCCACATTTGCATAGGGAGTGACGTGTCACATTTTCTGGCCTATCCAGATTTTATTTTTGCCAATATTGTACTGTCACTAAGAATGAACATATTTATTTTATAGTTAAGAAATGTGAAATCTTATAGTATGTCATTTATAATTTGATTGTTACTATATTTAGAAAGCATTTCAGTCATTTCAAGCCCTATTACCCCACTTTTGTTGAATAGGAAAAAAATCATATGATTTTTCATACATGTATTCTCATAATATTTGTACTATGTACTTGAGCTTGTGTTCTCAAAAGTGAGTACACCTCAGCAATTTATAAGTATTTTTTGTCAGAAAGGTGACCTTTCTAAAACTATGCAACATTACCAGTTATTGTTCAAGCCATCTCAAATCAAATTTTATTTGCCACATGCGCCGAATACAACAGGTGTAGACATTACCGTGAAATGCTTACTTACAGCCCTTAACCAACAATGCATTTAATTTTTTATAAAAAAGTAAAATAAAACAACAACAACAACAAAAAAGTGTTGAGAAAAAAAGAGCAGAAGTAAAATAAAATTACAGTAGGGAGGCTATATACAGGGGGGTACCGGTGCAGAGTCAATGTGCGGGGGCACCGGCTAGTTGAGGTAATATGTACATGTGGGTAGAGTTAAAGTGACTATGCATAAATAATTAACAGAGTAGCAGCAGCGTAAAAAGATGGGGTGGGGTTGGGGGGGCAGTGCAAATAGTCCGGGTAGCCATGATTAGCTGTTCAGGAGTCTTATGGCTTGGGGGTAGAAGCTGTTGAGAAGCCTTTTGGCCAAAATGCCACCTGGAAAGCTATTTTTAATGCTATATTGATAGTAAATTTAGCAATTTATATGACAAGTGAACAACACCCACCTTTTCCATTGTCAATAATCCATTTTGCCCATGTTCTTGATGAAGAATGTTAAGCTCACTGGTTTGAGACCACAAAATCAACCAAATCCGCTAAATAGCGCTGCTAATAGCTCTATATTGAAGATACTGTGATTGAAGAAAAATAGTTCAGAGGTTAAATTATAAAAAAATATAGGTTCATCGTCATTTCTACACACGTTCTACCTGGCTTTAGTAGTTTAGGTTCAGACTGGAGTATTCTCATGAAAATAATTAAGTTTGGGTATGTCTATTTAAGCGGACATCTAAAATCTGCCCTTTCATTCAACTGGTTGAAACATTGCCACTTAGTCTTAGATAATACATCCCCTTTCATTGCATTAGGTTTAAAATCTGTATGGACATCATACCCTGCTGAGCATTAAGTTGACATGTAGAATTTTCAATTGACAATACCTACCATTCCTAATCTCAACAATCATTCCGTCCTCTAGAGACAATGGCCTGAAAGCCATAGAAAACCTCATGCAGAAGAAAGGAAAGTTTGACTATATTCTTCTAGAAACGACAGGACTTGCAGATCCAGGTAAGTTAAATAACATCATAAACCCTCACAGTTGAATTAAAGTCAACTTTGAATAGCTACTGTTTGTGGTTCACATTACAATGCAGTACCTTACACGTGGAGATGCTTGGTTAGCTTAGACTATCCACACGCGACCCAATATTGGCATTGTGAAAAAAAAATCGTCAAAATGCCACCTGGAAAGCTATTTTTAATGCTATATTGATAGTAAATTTAGCAATTTATATGACAAGTGAACAACATACCCACCTTTTCCATTGTCAATAATCCATTTTGTCCATATTCTTGATGAAGAATGTTAAGCTCACTGGTTTGAGACCACAAAATCAACCAAATCCGCTAAATAGCGCTGCTAATAACTCTATATTGAAGATACTGTGATTGAAGAAAAATTGTTCAGAGGTTAAATTATAAAAAATATAGGTTCATCGTCATTTCTACACACTTTCTACCTGGCTTTAGTAGTTTAGGTTCAGACTGGAGTATTTTTCATCCCCTCAAAACAAGTTAAACTAAAATAAAGACACCTGCGACCCATTCGAAACCTCCTGCGACTCGCAAACCACAGTTTTACAATCGCTGTTCTAGAGGAACGCTTCACTCTGTCAACTTCAATCTGTTTACTCTCTTATGTTTGGTTAGAATATAGCTGGACGTTATAGCAACAACAAGTTCACAAAGTATACACCGGCATGTTTCAACAGCAAGTGTAATATATTTAAATAGAATTTCACTTCATCAGGATGATATTTGAAGCCTGAGTGCTATGCCGTCTGCTATGCAAATAGATGCCCTCGTATTTCATGTTTGTGTCGACAGTCAAGAAACTATTGTAATAGGATGGCATTTGCTGCTGTAGTGACTAGTGGGACACTTTTCGTTGAAACTTAGTTGAATAGCATGTTGTTTCCATACATTTAGGCTAGATTGAATTCACTGCAATGTTTAGGTGACATTCTCAATACTATTCAGTTCCAGCATGCTCAACCAAAGCTTTGCATTGTTGGCCTTAGTTTGACTCCAGACGGACACTTCTAGACAAGCCCAGCTAGTTGAGCTTCTTCTTACTTAAGACCAATAACACTGTGCTCTGGGACAGTGCCAGGGTTATTGGGGTGGGGCGGGGGGTGATATCTGAACAACCTATTTCCATCAGGACAGGGAAGCCATCAGGCCGTAAACGTTTAGCCAGGGGGGAAAGGAAATCAATAGGAGGCCATTACGGGGCGAGCCCTGTGACGACTGGAGTGTGTCAGTAAGTGACAGGTGTCAGTGGTCCAGAGACGCAGCCAGCTACATACCACTGGTCCACACACAGGCCTGACAGAGCACGCTCAGACCGGGACTCTCCTCACCCCTCCACTGTGTCATTGGCTGAGACAGGCTGGTTATTGATTGAGACAGGGCTGTCATTGGCCCAGACAGGCCTGTCAATCAGAGAGGTCCCAGGGGGCTGGCACCTCCCATTGAGGAAGAGGCTGGACGGGTGGTGCGTGGGATGCCACTCACAAACAGTGTTTTCATTACTCTCCTATCAAATATTTACCATGCTTTCTTATTCTCGCCTGACGGTTTGACAAAAGTGCATTATGTGAACAAGCTAGGCCTGTTGCGGTGACATGGCACTGGAATAACTTCCCCCACGGAGAAATGGAAATGCCTGGAAGCAATCTAAATGTACCTACGGGGAGAAAAACAATTGAAAGCTGCTCAAATTATTTTTAACTGGTCCACTGAGTTCTAGGATGTTAAATGTGGCAGAGGCAAACTGTAATGGTTAGGAAATGTCTCCTGATAATGTTGTGTTTTACTTCTTTAATGTTCTTAATACTTCTTTAATGTTGCGGTATGCTATCTAAATATCTCTCTAATTCACCCTCTCAGGTGCTGTGGCCTCCATGTTCTGGGTTGATGCAGAACTAGGGAGTGACATCTATCTAGACGGTAAAAAAAAACATTTTGTGCTAAACGTGTGTTCCAGTTGGTGTGTTTAGGAGCAATAGGTGTGTATTCCATGTGGTGTTCATGGGGGGGGGGGGGGGGGGGGGGGGGAAGGACAAAATGTATAGCATGTCCACTTCCCAGGAGGAATACTCAGCTGTTTCTTCTGTTATGACAGAGAATGCTTGGAAAGACCACAAGTGGACATAGAAAGTGACTTGAACACACAAGCTGGACCAAACACCAAAAGGCTGCAGGGTCAGAGTTAATTGAATACACAAGCCCTCTTATTGTCTTTTCTGCTTTTGTTTGTTTACAGGTATTGTCACAGTCATTGATGCTAAGTACGCAATGCAGGTAAAAGCTCATTCAGACATTTATTTATTTTATTTATTTCACCTTTATTTAACCAGGTAAGCCAGTTGAGAACAAGTTCTCATTTACAACTGCGACCTGGCCAAGTTAAAGCAAAGCAGTGCGATAAAAACAACAACAACACAGAGTTGTGAAATAAACAAATGAAATAAACAAAACGTACAGTCAAAAACACAATAGATAATCTACAGTGGGGAAAAAAAGTATTTAGTCAGCCACCAATTGTGCATGTTCTCCCACTTAAAAAGATGAGAGAGGCCTGTAATTTTCATCATAGGTACACGTCAACTATGACAGACAAAATGAGAAAAAAAAATCCAGAAAATCACATTGTAGGATTTTTAATTAATTAATTTGCAAATTATGGTGGAAAATAAGTATTTGGTCAATAACAAAAGTTTCTCAATACTTTGTTATATACCCTTTGTTGGCAATGACACAGGTCAAACGTTTTCTGTAAGTCTTCACAAGGTTTTCACACATTGTTGCTGGTATTTTGGCCCATTCCTCCATGCAGATCTCCTCTAGAGCAGTGATGTTTTGGGGCTGTCGCTGGGCAACACGGACTTTCAACTCCCTCCAAAGATTTTCTATGGGGTTGAGATCTGGAGACTGGCTAGGCCACTCCAGGACCTTGAAATGCTTCTTACGAAGCCACTCCTTCGTTGCCCGGGCGGTGTGTTTGGGATCATTGTCATGCTGAAAGACCCAGCCACGTTTCATCTTCAATGCCCTTGCTGATGGAAGGAGGTTTTCACTCAAAATCTCACGATACATGGCCCCGTTCATTCTTTCCTTTACACAGATCAGTCGTCCTGGTCCCTTTGCAGAAAAACAGCCCCAAAGCATGATGTTTCCACCCCCATGCTTCACAGTAGGTATGGTGTTCTTTTGGATGCAACTCAGCATTCTTTGTCCTCCAAACACGACGAGTTGAGTTTTTACCAAAAAGTTCTATTTTGGTTTCATCTGACCATATGACATTCTCCCAATCCTCTTCTGGATCATCCAAATGCACTCTAGCAAACTTCAGACAGGCCTGGACATGTACTGGTTTAAGCAGGGGGACACGTCTGGCACTGCAGGATTTGAGTCCCTGGCGGCGTAGTGTGTTACTGATGGTAGTCTTTGTTACTTTGGTCCCAGCTCTCTGCAGGTCATTCACTAGGTCCCCCCGTGTGGTTCTGGGATTTTTGCTCACCGTTCTTGTGATCATTTTGACCCCACGGGGTGAGATCTTGTGTGGAGCCCCAGATCGAGGGAGATTATCAGTGGTCTTGTATGTCTTCCATTTCCTAATAATTGCTCCCACAGTTGATTTCTTCAAACCAAGCTGCTTACCTATTGCAGATTCAGTCTTCCCAGCCTGGTGCAGGTCTACAATTTTGTTTCTGGTGTCCTTTGACAGCACTTTGGTCTTGGCCATAGTGGAGTTTGGAGTGTGACTGTTTGAGGTTGTGGACAGGTGTCTTTTATACTGATAACAAGTTCAAACAGGTGGCATTAATACAGGTAATGAGTGGAGGACAGAGGAGCCTCTTAAAGAAGAAGTTACAGGTCTGTGAGAGCCAGAAATCTTGCTTGTTTGTAGGTGACCAAATACTTATTTTCCACCATAATTTGCAAATAAATTCATCAAAACTCCTACAATGTGATTTTCTGGATTTTTTTTTCTCATTTTGTCTGTCATAGTTGACGTGTACCTATGATGAAAATTACAGGCCTCTCTCATCTTTTTAAGTGGGAGAACTTGCACAATTGGTGGCTGACTAAATACTTTTTTCCCCCACTGTATATACAGTGTGTGCAAATGTGGTAAGTTATGGAGGTAAGGCAATAAATAGGCCATAGTGCAAAATAATTACAATTTAGTATTAACACTGGAGTGATAGATGTGCAGAAGATGATGTGCAAATAGAGATACTGGGGTGCAAATGAGCAAAATAAATAACAATATGGGGATGAGGTATTTGGGTGTGCTAATTACAGAATGGCTGTGTACAGGTGCAGTGATCGGTAAGCTGCTCTGACAACTGATGCTTAAAGATGGTGAGGGAGATAAGTGTCTCCAGCTTCAGAGATTTTTGCAGTTCGTGTCAAATTGAAAAGTTGACATCACATAACAATCCTCAGAATCTGTCAAACATGGCTGAGTCTGGGTTCATTTGTCAAAATGTACTCTACATTCTCCTGAAAGAAATGGGGCTTTCAAGACAACTGGGAACTCTGAAAAAAATGTGTTCAAATCATGACATCTGTCAGAGCTCTAGAAAGATGCCCGAGTTTCCCACTTGGAATTCCGAGTTGGATGACCGTTCAAAACTATTTTTCCCAGCCAGCGTTTGTTCCAAGTTGTCTTGAATGCACAGAAGTCAGAGATTTCCGACTTCCCAGTTGTTTATTTTGGTAGAAATCCTCAGGCAGGAATATAAAAATTGTATTTCTCAAAATGAACTGGAGTAATTTCCAGTTCATTGTCAAATGGAAAAGTTGACATCACATAACAATCCTCAGAATCTGTCAAACAATCTTGTCTTGTCCGCAAGTTGTAGAGGCTATAGAGAGTTCCAAACCCTGTACACCCATGCACACACACACACACACACACCACCCTCCCAAACTCAAAAGCCTTTAATCACTTTGGAGAGGAACAGGTCAAGTGACACCTGGATAATAGGCTGTAATCTGAGGTTGTCATGCTTGGCGAGTTGACACGTTCACGGCCTAGGTGCCACCTCGGCCCTCACACGAAGAGGAAGGGGGGGAAAGAGGACAGAGAGGGAGAGGATGATTGAAACTGAAGGGGTAATTGATATCAGAGCAGATCACTCTTATGGGACTGTCACACCCCCTAACCCCCCTTTCTCCGATCCTCTGCTCCTGAAATACTCTTCTGACTGGGGACAGATGAGAACTCAAGTCCCAGGCCTCTCACTCACCATCAGGCCCCAGACTCTCATGGTATGGTGATAGAGGAAGGTGATTTAATAGTGGTGGTCATTGTATTTAGTTTTTGATTTCCATCACTCGCTAGGCCGTAGCTGAGGGACATCCTCTGACAGGTTGATGTTTAGGGGTGAGGAGAAGAGGTTACGATCCCTAGTCCCTCTGTTATTACATATTTCACTCAGGAGATGAAACCAGCGCTGGCTCCATCCCTGATACAGTGGCAGGACACAAATAGAAAATTGATCTGATTTATCTCTTGTGGTTTCAAAATGTTTCAGCAGGTGATTTCTATCTCGTATCACAGGTTGGATTGATGAGTGTCATTCACGTTCTTCTCTTCATTTTGGGGATGTCACTTTTTGTGTCAGTTTTGGTCCATGTATCTACTCTCCAATCCCAGTGCTGAATCAAGTTTGAAATAAAGTTAAAGGTGAAAACTAGCTTACACTTTCTTTCGCATCAGTGGACTGGAGGATAGTGAAGTGTCAGAACAGAAAGTTGGTCTCACTAACTTTGGTTAATTAATTATCTTCCTGCAGCATCTGACAGAGGAGAAACCAGAGGGACTGGTCAATGAAGCAGCTAGGTATGCTCTGTCTGTCTGTCTGTCTGTCTCAATACAGGAATAATTTTTATTTTGTACTTACCTCTTTGATGCCTCGTTTTATACACACAGTTTTTTCTCAGTTTAATTTCCCTTTCCTGCTGTCCCATCAGTCCTCTGGTTGCCTGGTGTTGTTGTTGATCCTACAGAGACTAATGTCACACTGCTCTCGGTTTCTATTGCTGTTTTCGTCTCCAACATAATGGGGGTCCCATTTGAGTGTGGCACGTCCTTTACAATGCCACACACACACCTCAGGAGGGCTTGGGAACACCAGTGGAATACCAGCACCAGTGTTACCACCATACAGCTTTGTTAAGGTAACTGTATTGGTTCTACTGTTGAATGTGCAGGCAGATAGCCCTGGCAGATCTGACCATCATCAATAAGACTGACCTGGTGACTGGAGAGGAGCTCAACCACCTCAGAGACACCGTCAGGTGACCACTAGTCACTTTTTACAGACCTTTTTACTAATACACTGTCCTGTTAAAATAATAGTCAAGTGAGGACCTGTTTCCATTTGTAATTGCGCTTTTTGATTGTTCAGATCAGATGTGTGATTCCTTTATGTAATAGAGTGTATTGTACATAATCATAAACATCTTCCCTCTACAGGTCTATAAATGGTCTGGTCAAGATTCTGGAAACTCAGAAGTCAAGGTGGGTTGGTTCATTTGGCCTATATGAACGGTGGGTGGTGATTGAACGTGTACCATTGTCTACTGTATCACTACTCTCACCTGGAGACATAACCAGACATGGAGACACAGCCATGCTGCATGTTACAGGGGTTTTACTATGACTATTTTTAAAGACGTAAAACTCTCTCTCTCTCACACACACACACAATTATCCCCCTTGCGTGTTTTTCCAGCTTTGTTCTTGAAACACAGATGAAACATATCAGCCATGAATGACTTGTATTTGAGCCACAGGCCTGCACCCCACCAGGCACCACCCATTCTGTGTGTGTGAGATATAAGACACAAGTAGGTGCTGGCTGAATGAAATCAGTGCTGCTCTGCATGTGTCAAAGGCAGGGTGTGTCTCTCAGATCCACTCTGCACCCCAGAGATACAACAGAGAACATGAAAGGCCAAAACAGAAAGGGGGGCTAACCAAATCTAATTTTATTTGTCACATACACGTGTTTAGCAGATGTTATTGCGGGAATTAAGAATATATACATATATGGACAAGCAATGACAGAGCGGCATGGACTAAGATACAGTAGAATATTATAGAATACAGTATATACATATGAGATGAGTAATGCAAGATATGTAAACATTATTAAAGTGACTAGTGTTCCATTTCTTAAAGTGGCCAGTGATTTCAATAGGCAGTAGCAGCCTCTAATGTGCTAGTGATGGCTATTTAACAGTCTGATGGCCTTGAGTTAGAAGCTGTTTTTCATTCTCTCTGTCCCAGCTTTGATGCACCTGTACTGACCTAGCCTTCTGGATGATAGCGGGATGAACAGGCAGTGGCTCGGGTGGTTGTTGTCCTTGATGATCTTTTTGGCCTTCCTTTGACATCGGGTGCTGCAGGTGTCCTGGAGGGCTGGTAGTTTGCCCCCGGTGATGCGTTGGGCAGACCGCACCACCCTCTGGAGAGCCCTGCGGTTGTGGGCGGTGCAGTTGCCGTACCAGGCGGTGATACAGCCCGACAGGATGCTCTCAATTGTGCATCTGTAAAAGTTTGTGAGGGTTTTAGGTGCCAAGCCACATTTCTTCAGCCTCCTGAGGTTGAAGAGGCGCTGTTGTGCCTTCTTCACCACACTGTCTGTGTGGGTGGACCATTTTAGTTTGTCAGTGATGTGTACACCGAGGAACTTGAAGCTTTCCACCTTCTCCACTGCAGTCCTGTCGATGTGGATAGGGGGGTGCTCCCTCTGCTGTTTCCTGAAGTCCACGATCATCTCCTTTGTTTTGTTGACGTTGAGTGAGAGGTTATTTTCCTGGCACCACACTCCCAGAGCCCTCACCTCCTCCCTGTAGGCTGTCTCGTCATTGTTGGTAATCAAGCCTACTACTGTTGTGTCATCTGCAAACTTGATGATTGAGTTGGAGGCGTGCTTGGCCACGCAGTCATGGGTGAACAGGGGTACAGGAGGGGGCTAAGCACGCACCCTTGTGTGGCCCCAGTGTTGAGGATCCGCGTAGTGGAGGTGTTGTTTCCTACGTTCATCAACTGGGGGCGGCCCATCAGGAAGTCCAGGACCCAGTTGCACAGGGCGGGGTTCAGACCCAGGGCCTCAAGCTTAATGATGAGCTTGGAGGGTACTATGGTGTTGAATGCTGAGCTATAGTCAATTAACAGCATTCTTACATAGGTATTCCTCTTGTCCAGATTGGATAGGGCAGTGTGATGGCGATTGCATCGTCTATTGGGGCGGTAAGCAAATTGAAGTGGGCCTAGGGTTGCAGGTAAGGTAGAAGTGATATGATCCTTGACTAGTCTCTCAAAGCACTTCATGATGACAGAAGTGAGTGCTACGGGGCGATAGTCATTTAGTTCAGTTACCTTTGCTTTCTTGGGTATAGGGACAATGGTAGCAATCTTGAAGCATGTGGGGACAGCAGACTGGGATAGGGAGAGATATGAATATCTCCGTAACAACCCTCCCCAAAGCAACAAAAAAAGTGATACAACCTTGCCCTATTTTGGACAACCCCCCACCCACCCCCCAATAAGTAGGCTATAGTGCAAAATAATTACAATAGTATTAACACTGGAATGCTAGATGTGCAAGAGATTATGTGCAAATAGAGATACTGGGGTGCAAAAGAGCAAAATAAATAACAATATAGGGATGGGCTGTGTACAGGTGCAGTGATCGGTAAGGTGCTCTGACAACTGATGCTTAAAGTTATTGAGGGAGATAAGAGTCTCCAGCTTCAGAGATTTTTGCAATTCGTTCCAGTCATTGGCAGCAGAGAACTGGAAGGAATGGCGGCCAAAGGAGGTGTTGGCTTTGGGAATGACCAGTGAGATATACCTGCTGGAGCGCAGACTACGGGTGGGTGCTGCTATGGTGACCAATGAGCTAAGATAAGGCGGGGATTTGCCTAGCAGTGATTTATAGATGGCCTGGAGCCAGTGGGTTTGACGACGAACATGTAGTGAGGACCAGCCAACAAGAGCGTACAGGTCACAGTGGTGGGTAGTGTATGGGGCTTTGGAGACAAAACGGATGGCACTGTGATAGACTACATCCAATTTGCTGAGTAGAGTGTTGGAGGCTATTTTGTAAATGACATCGCCGAAGTCAAGGATCGGTAGGATAGTCAGTTTTACGAGGGCATGTTTGGCAGCATGAGTGAAGGAGGCTTTGTTGCGAAATAGGAAGCCGATTCTAGATTTAACTTTGGATTGGAGATTCTTTATGTGAGTCTGGAAGTTGAGTTTACAGTCTAACCAGACACCTAGGTATTTGTAGTTGTCCACATACTCTAGGTCAGACCCGTCGAGAGTGGTGATTCTAGTCGGGTGGGCGGGTGCCAGCAGCGTTCGATTGAAAAGCATGCATTTAGTTTTACTAGTGTTTAAGAGCAGTTGGAGGCTACTGAAGGAGTGTTGTATGGCATTGAAGCTCGTTTGGAGGTTTGTTAACACAGTGTCCAATGAAGGGCCAGATGTATACAAAATGGTGTCGTCTGCGTAGAGGTGGATCTGAGAGTCACCAGCAGCAAGAGCGACATCATTGATATACACGGAGAAAAGTGTCGGCCCAAGAATTGAACCCTGTGGCACCCCCATAGAGACTGCCATAGGTCCAGACAACAGGCCCTCCGATTTGACACACTGAACTCTATCTGAGAAGTAGTTGGTGAACCAGGCGAGGCAGTCATTTGAGAAACCAAGGCTATTTAGTCTGCCAATAAGAATGCGGTGGTTGACAGAGTCGAAAGCCTTGGCCAGGTCGATGAAGACGGCTGCACAGTACTGTCTATTATCAATCGCGGTTATAATATCGTTTAGGACCTTGAGCGTGGCTGAAGTGCACCCATGACCAGCTCGGAAACCGGATTGCATAGCGGAGAAGGTACGGTGGTATTCGAAATGGTCGGTGATCTGTTTGTTAACTTGGCTTTCAAATACTTTCGAAAGGCAGGGCAGGATGGATATAGGTCTGTAGCAGTTTGGATCTAGAGTGTCACCCCCTTTGAAGAGGGGGATGACCGCGGCAGCTTTCCAATCTCTGGGGATCTCAGACGTTATGAAAGAGAGGTTGAACAGACTAGTAATAGGGGTTGCGACAATTTCGGCGGCTAGTTTTAGAAAGAAAGGGTCCAGATTGTCTAGCCCAGCATATTTGTAGGGGTCCAGATTTTGCAGCGCTTTCAAAACATCCGCTGTCTGAATTTGTGTGAAGGAGAAGCGGGGGGGGCATGGGCAAGTTGCAGCAGAGGGTGCAGAGTTGGTGGCCGGGGTAGTGGTAGCCAGATGGAAAGCATGGCCAGCTGTAGCAAAATGCTTGTTGAAATTCTCGATTATTGTAGATTTATCGGTGGTGATAGTGTTTCCTAGCCTCAGTGCAGTGGGCAGCTGGGAGGAAGTGCTCTTATTCTCCATGGACTTTACAGTGTCCCAAAACCTTTTGGAGTTAGTGCTACAGGATGCAAATTTCTGTTTGAAAAAGTTAGCCTTTGCTTTCCTGACTGCTTGTGTATATTGGTTCCTAACTTCCCTGAAAAGTTGCATATCGCGTGGGCTATTTGATGCTAATGCTGTACGCCACAGGATGTTTTTGTGCTGGTCAAGGGCAGTCAAGTCTGAGGAGAACCAGGGGCTATATCGGTTCTTAGTTCTGTATTTTTTGAATGGGGCATGTTTATTTAAGATTGAGAGGAAATTACTTTTAAGGAACAACCAGGCATCCTCTACTGACGGAATGAGATCTATATCCATCCAGGATACCTGGGCCAGGTCAATTAGGAAGGCCTGCTCGCTAAAGTGTTTTAGGGAGCGTTTGACAGTGATGAGGGGTGGTCGTTTGACCGCGGACCCGTTACGGACGCAGGCAATAAGGCAGTGATCGCTGAGATCCTGGTTGAAGACAGCTGAGGTGTATTTAGAGGGTATGTTAGTCAGGATGATATCTATGAGGGTACCCATGTTTACGGATTTAGGGTTGTACCTGGTAGGTTCGTTGATAATTTGCGTGAGGTTGAGGGCATCTAGTTTGATTGTAGGATGGCTGGGGGATTAAGCATATCCCAATTTAGGTCACCAAGCAGTACGAACTCTGAGGATAAATGGGGGGCAATCAATTCACATATGGTGTCCAGGGCACAGCTGGGGGCTGAGGGGGGTCTGTAGCAAGCGGCAACAGTGAGAGACTTATTTCTGGAAAGGTGGATTTCTAGAAGTAGAAGCTCAAACTGTTTGGGCACAGACCTGGATAGTATGATAGAGCTCTGCAGGCTATCTCTACAGTAGATTGCAACTCCACCCCCTTTGGCAGTTCTATCTAGACGGAAAATGTTATAGTTGGGGATGGAAATTTCAGAATTTTTGGTGGACTTCCTGAGCCAGGATTCAGACACTGCTAGAACATCAGGGTTGGCGGAGTGTGCTAACGCAGTGAATAACTCAAACTTAGGAAGTAGACTTCTGATATTTATGTGCAAGAAACCAAGACTTTTGCGATTACAGAAGTCAGCAAATGATAACGCCTGGGGAGTAGGAGTGATACTGAGGGCTGCAGGGCCTGGGTTAGCCTCTACATCACCAGAGGAACAGAGGAGGACTAGAATAAGGATACGGCTAAAGGCTAGGAGAACTAAAACAAATAAGGTTAGATGAGGCCAGTCTGGTCTCAGAGCCATTGGCCTATAACTATGAACAACACATGAGAAAAATGTATTCAATTTCGACAGTGACCGATATTTCGTTTAAACATCCTGCACTC